GCTTTTTGATTAATTGCAGTTTTTAATTAATTATGATTTTTAATTAATTACAATTTTCAATTAATTATAGTTTCTAATTAATTATAGTTTTGAATTAATTATGATTTCCAATTAATTATGATTTTCTATTAATTATGATTTCAATTAATCATGATTTTCTATTAATTATGATTTATAATTAATTACGATTTTCAATTAATTATAATTTCTTATTTAATTGAAATATAGATATCATATTATTATTAAAAATTATATTAATTCGAAAATTAAAAATTTAATTTCATCACATGTATGGTTTAAACTAGTGATAGAATTTTTACTCTCTAGATAAGTTTCCTTCAAAAAATATAAATCTATTTCATAAATATTATTAGTATTACTGGGGCAATAAGTAGATAAGTTAGTATTTAGCTATTGTAATAATAATAAATAATGTTTGATATAATATGAAATTGATAAATAAATCAATAAAGTCTTGTATCTAATGCCATTCTACTATAAAAAAAAAATAAAAAAATAAAATGTTTACTTATAAAAAAAAAATCTTTAACTTGATTATAAAATTAAAAAAAAAAATTAATAATTTAGTAAATAATATACGTATATTTATATAATTATAGAAAAAAAATTACTATAAATCTATCATTTTTCATTACAGGTAAACCTATATATAGCAAACTTAATTTTTTATTTTGTTTCAAGAATTTAATATTTAAAATTAATTAAGTTTATTACTTTTAATTTTAAGTAAATAATTATAATTGCTTGATATTATTTTTAATATATATAGGTTTTAATATTTATTTTTTTATATTATTTTGATGGAATATATAAGCAAACTAGCATTAAACTTATTGATCTAGTTGTTACATAAGAGATGTTGTCACTTTTTTTATATATAAAATTTCTCATATTTTTTACAATTAATAAAGTAATAATATTTATCTACAAAAAAAAAAATAATAATTAATTATTAAAATTATTAATAAAAATATAGAGTTTAATTTTTTCAATTATTTTTGTTTTATATTGTAAATAAACAATTAATATATAAAAAAAAAAATTTATAAAAAATTATTTATTTTAAGTTTATTGAAATAAATTTTAATCTTAATTTTTTACTTTCTAGTTTAATATACAGTAATATTTATACAGTATGTTTATTGATAATAAGGCAGATCTAAAGTTTTTAAGATTATCGGCAAGTTTGAACACAAATTTGGTTCGTGAAATCGAGTCACGAGACATTTACGGTTCAAATGGTAAATAATACGGATGAGCCGAATTTGTTAAACTTTACATCATGAAATTCGCCTTCATTCATTCCTGATTGATTTTTTTCTCTAATATCTATAGTACAACACCAATACGTTTTCACTCATCTAACAATGTCTTATCCGACACTTTACAATACCATAAAGAATAATCGTTTTCTTCACCGTTACCTCAAACCCTTGGCCGATTACTATGCCAATTTATCAGGTTACAGGCAACTTGGTATGTATAAATTTTAAACCTCTAGTCAAGTACATTATATGAAAGAAAAGTAAAGAATTTTTAAAACTTTATAGGGTTAAGGTATGATGACATCATAATTGAGGAGAATTCTACAGTTCAAGAAGCACTGAGAAGGTTGTCACCTCAAGAAACAGATCTTAGGAATATACGCATTCGTAATGCATATCAACTATCTTTAACTCATAAAATTTTGCCCAAAGAAAAATGGACAAAACCCGAAGAGGTAATAAGATATTTTCTTTCTTGTCATCACATAACGATGTTTCTCACAAGTGGTTTCCGTTCGGTCGCGATTACAGGACGTTAGGTTCCTTACTCCTATTATCGAGCAAGTTGCTTTTGAGGAAGCTGAGCGTGAAAGTTTTGAAGCGATAAAAGTTGTCCGTAAAGCTAGCTAAAAAAAAAAAAAGAAACATTAGATAATTGAAGTTGAATTATATTATTATTCAGAATTTATTAGGAAAGCAAAAGCATTCGTTTCCGCCAGTAAGAAGCCGGAACGATGTACAATTAACATTTTTTATGTTTTCTATGAAGAAAAATCATTAAAATAAAAACCCAATTTATGAATTGATTTTTTATGCGCATATGTGAAGTGGGATTATTTTTTTTTTGATATAAGTGATATAGTGTTGTCATAGTTAAATTCAGGGGTTTTAGATCGCGCATTTACGGTATATATAAACCTTGATCACGGAGTTTTGTTTTATTAAGTAACGCGTCTACGTTAAAAAATCTGACCGCGACCTGTTTACATAATACAACCAATAAAATCGGGGTTTACATCGTCGGTACAGTAATTATTGTTTTCACGTTTCTAATAATCCTCGAAGATGACTGATAATTATGCTAAACTCGAAAAACTTGGCGAAGGTAGATATTTCCATTTCACGAAATTCTACTATCCGACTTTACATGTCATTATTTACTTGCATTAGGGACATACGGCGTCGTCTACAAGGCAAAAGATAGGACAACAGGGAGAATCGTAGCACTCAAAAAGATTCGACTAGAAGACGGTGAAGAAGGAATTCCGCCCACTTCGATTCGTGAGATATCTTTACTCAAGGAAGCTAATAGGAATGAGAATATTGTAAAGTAGGTTGTTCTTCGTTGGCAAACATCAAAACGTAGGAAATACAATGAGGAATTCCATTTTGTCAAATAGGCTTTTGGACATTGTTAGTCAAGAAAGGAAATTGTATCTCGTGTTTGAGTTTCTAACGATGGACTTGAGAAAGTTTATTAAAGAGATACCTAAGGAAAATGGAATGGAATCTTTAACTATGCAGGTAACTTTACCGACCGTTCTCCCCGTTCTCTAGAAAGGAGTGCACAACTTCTGGAGGTGAATTATAGGATTCACACACAGTTTTAGAAATTTATGTATCAGCTTGTTGATGGAACCATGTACTTGCATATGCGCCGTATCTTTCATCGAGACTTGAAGCCTCAAAATCTGCTAATTGATTCGCAAGGAGATCTTAAAGTGGCAGATTTCGGTTTAGCCAGAGCTGCTGGTATTCCTCTGAAGCCCTACACGCATGAGGTTGTTATTGTCATGTAAACTTTAAAAAACGAAAGAGATATTGAATTTTTTTTTGCGACTTATCCTTTTTAGGTGGTCACCTTATGGTACAGAGCACCGGAAATTCTACTTGGATCTTTTCATTATGCCTTTGCTATTGACATGTGGAGCATCGGATGTATTTTTGCGGAGATGGCTAATTTAACACCATTTTTTGCAGGCAAAAAATTTTCTAGGTTGTGATACGCAATTGAATTGACGACATCGATACTTTAAATTGACTTTGATCTTGAAAATTTAACATAGGTGATTCCGAAATTGAACAGCTCTTCATGGTATTCGAGTACGTTGTCGTTTTTTTTTTTTGAATTTTTTTTTATTTAAAACTGTCAATTGAGTATTGACAAATCACTCAGGGTCCTGGGAACACCGGATGAAGAGACATGGCCGGGAGTTACCAAATTTCCGGATTACAACCCTAATTTTCCACGATGGAAGCCTCAGAAACTTCGTGATTTTGTTCCATCATTAGACTCACTCGGTCTTGATTTACTTCAGGTATACAAGGAATCGACTTTCTAGATTCTCAAAACGTTAAAAAATGCTGAATTTTTTTATTGTTTTCACAGAAACTTTTCACTTATGATACCATCCGTCGAATTTCTGCAAAACGCGCCCTCTCTCATCCCTATTTCAACAGATGGAAATCTTTAAAGAATTTTAAACGATAGACATTATACAATCTTGGAACTTTTTGTTCATTGCATCCAAATTTTGAAAATAAATGCTGTTTCGAGATTGAGGGGTAAAGAATGTGCATCATTCCGTCATGGCTTCCTTCGTGCCACCATAACAATGACTACATCTAGAAAATTAATAAGATAAATTCAAGGGTACTGATACATATTGGAGGTGTGTTCTCATTACGCGGCTCATGATATGTATCGACTTTTCAAGCCTCGATTCTGTCTCAAGAAAGATTTGCCTTGGCTAATGACCAGAATCATGATAGGTTACTTTTATCACTTGAAACTATTTTGAAGATGTAGAAATTTCATCACGGAAAGACAGGTTGGCAGTGCTCTGTAGTGTAGTGATGACAATATTATTTTGTTTTTTTAATATAATTATTTTTGAAACTTATTGTCTATGGCGCAAGGAAAAAAAAAAGGGAAAAAGTGTATATAATTGCCATTATTCACATTCAATAAACCGATTACAAAAAGTACCGCTGTTGTAAGAAAACTATATGTAATTTTTTGGTTGTGTCTATTAGATAAATTTAAGGATAATTTAGATAACGCGAGCAAGGAAAAATAAAGTACAAAAAAAAAAAAAATTATGAACGAAGAAAATCTTATAATACATTCATTAGTTAAACAATATGAAGAAATTAGATTAAAAGACGGATTATTCGCTCTGAGTAGAAGTAGAACTATTATCAACTTTTTGCTCTTCATCATCTTTACTTGCTTCCTTAAGCAGAAATGATATCCACATGTCTGAAAATGACTGACAAAATAAGATAAAAGATATTAATTAAATTTATCCTATTTTTTCTAATAATTTAATAACACATCAATCATCAATGCAAACCTCTTTTTGATCATCCTCTTCGGATATTCTAATGATCGGCCTAGAAACATCCTCGGATAATCTACTCCGCGGTCTCTCTATCGTTGGCGTCCATAATCCGGTAGTCCAACCATTATCTATGGTTTTGGATGCCTTCCTTATCAATCCCACTTGCTCTTTCTGCTCCTCATTCCACTGCAACATACTAGCCATCAATTGTAATATTTCGAAGCGTTTACTATCTCCACGCGGAGTATTGAAAAACGCTATCAGCAGATTGGTAATCAGACGTCTGAAAAATACGATATTAAGTCAACGTGTCATCGCAAAAGATAAATGTTTTGTAAACGGGAAATGTTAATTATAAACTACTAACCTGTCCACGTTATTCTCACTGCTTTCTTCTCTCATACGGCGAAGGGCTTCGGTAAGGTGCTCGTTCAAAATTACGGCTGAAAACATTTAAAGACCTTAATCTTTAATACGACGTAAAAGGGATAAAGAATGCATAACAAAAAAACCAATGTACTAATAATGTATTAACCTTCATGTCGTAACTTTCCAATCAATATATTTTTTTCTTTAATCTCTTTCTCGTATTGAGTTGTACGACCAACCTCTTCCTTGATCTGTGTTAGTTGATTCTAATAATAAGCAAGCGTATTTTGAGACTTCAAATGCTGGATTAGGATCACCCTTTGCATAATCTTATCGTGAAATTCGACAAACCTCCGCTAACAATGCCCGATCTTTAAATTCGGTTAGTTCCTTGGTAGCTGTTGAAAGACGTCGTTGTATTCCTTCGACAGCCTCCCGAATTTCTGATTGTTTAGCTGAAAGAGAGAAATATGTGTAAAGAACATATTTATGTTTTTATGTAGTTTTTTTTTTTTTTCTTTTTTTTTACCTGCTTCAAACTCTTCCAAGACATTCTGTAAATTATTCAGACTCTCGGATTCATTATCCTTTTCTACCTTTAACGTTTCCTTCTCATGTTTCAATGTCTCCATCTCCCTCTCCAAATGTTTTATGCGGGAAAGCAATTCGTCCTTTGCACTTTTTAACTCCATGATTGTTACCTCCCCATCTAACCTTTCCCTTTCGGAACGGTCCAAGTTGATTTGTAAATCTCGAATTGTTTTGTCTTTTTCGGATATCTCGTGTGAAGTTTGAAGTTGTATATCATAAAGTTGCGCTTCCAAGGTTTGCAATTGTTGAGCGGTATTTTCACGTTCGTTACGTGACGTTGCGAGATCCAATTGTAGTTCAGAAACAAGTGTATTGAGTTCTTCTATTTGTTGCCTTTTCTGATTAAGATCTTCCTATAATGTGGTAGAGGGTTTTTGGTTTTGACTGAATTAAATCATTAAGAATGAAATAAGAGTTATTTACGTACGTCATAGACAACCTACCATATCCGTTTTTAATTTGTCGGCTATTGAAGTCTTAAAATTTGCCAACTTTGCAATTAAACTTTGATGTTGCACTTCTAGCTGTCGCTTTTCCTCCTGAGTCTGTTCGAGTTGAGCCTTTAAATTTTGCTTTTCTTCTTGAACCTGTTCAAGTTGAGTTTTTAGGTTTTGCCTTTCTTCTTGAGCCTGATCAAGCTGAGACTTGAAGTTTTCATTTTCCTCCTGAGCTTGATCGAGTTGCTCTTTTATGCTTTGCTTTTCTTGCTGTTCCTGTGCGATCAATTCCTGTTTTTCTTTTTCAAGCCGTTCAAGTTGCGATCGCAACTCTACGATCGTCTTATCCTGTTCACTGTTTTCTTCCGTCTCCTCTTGATTGCTTATCGCTGTCTCTATGCTATCTTTAGAGCTATTGTTCTTATTCTTTTCTATTTCGAGTTGTTCTAGCAATGAAGTGCGCTCCCTAGCTAAATCTTTTTTTTCGTTCTGAATTTTGTCAAGTTCAGAACGCAGGTAGGTTACTGCTTGCAGTAATGAATGTTGACTCACGATCATTGGTTGTTCGGCCTTTGAAGCGACAACCGGAGTTTCTAATGTCTGAAGTTCTCCCATTGTGAAGTATTAAAGTTATTAAGGGTGCAAAAGTTGATGTTCGTTTTCTCAATGTATGTATTTTGCTTTGTATCACATGCAAAAACCGACCACTACTGATAATGTGTGAACAGAAAATCCGTTGACACTGGTAATCATGTTATTTATTTAAGATTATTGATTTATGAAACCGGAACGTGAATTTCCATTGTCGTGATACTGTAATACATTATATATATATATATATATATATACTTGGTTGTGACATCTGCATTAAAAAAATATTTTTTAGAATCAATATCAATAAACCAATTGATTTGGCTTAATTTAAAAATATCTATTAGGTTATCAATTGCAGATATACAGTATGTAATGCAACCTACAAACTCTATTTATATTTAAAATTTTTTTAAAAAATATACAGTATAATTAATAAAATAAATAAATAAATAAATAAATAAAATTTTTCAGTATTTTATCAATAAATAAAGAATCATATTAGAGTTATTAAAATTAATAAAATATAGTTTTTATATATCAATATTTTATTTTTTATTTATTAATTAAATAAACTTGTTTTATAATAACTTTTATTAATATGTTTAATAATTTTTTTTTTAAATAAAAACTTTTTATTAATTGATTAAAATTTTAATGCTTATTTGATTTATATAATTATTTTTTTAACAAATAATTTCTTATTAATAAATTTTATTTAAAATATATTAAAATATTTAAATTTTGAATTTTATAATATTTGATTTAATATTTGATTTTTAATTCAATAAATAAAAAGTTTTTTCATAAATATAAAATATTTAAATTATTGTATTATAATAATTTAAAATAATTTTTTAATAAAAATATATAATTTATATTTTATTTTATTAATAATATTAATTTAATATACGTATAGTATTAAATAAACTTGTTTTTTTTTTTGTTTTTTTTAATAGATAAATATACAATGATACAAATCTTTATTGATACATAAATAATTTTTAAATTACATCAAGTGTCCTTTTACAATTGAAAATTATATAGTTTGTATTAATTATATAGTCTATAATTGTAAACCAACACTGCCTAATATTTTGATATATCAACTTATTATCTATTTTTTTGATCCAACTATAAGAATTATATACCAAAGGTGAATCCAATACATCAGGTAAAGTTTTTATATGGGAAAAATGTCTATCACTAATTTAAACCACCTAACCTATAACCTGGTTTTTAAAAGCTATGTCTATTCCACAGAGGTTTAGTCATTGAATTTCTGAACACCTCAATACTTTTCGTTTAAACCCTCAAAAGAGATACTTGCTTCTTGTCACCATCTGCGACTTCGGTAGATCCTTTTCCAAAGATCCACTTCTTTTAAGCAAGTGTCAGATTGGGATAGCTTCAAACTAAAAAATCTTGAAATAAGTCGAATTTGGCCTATTGGATATGACATACACAGGAGACCTATATAACTTATATATAAAGCAACTTCACAACAATTATCATGCGCCAACCGGATAATGTTACACCACAACACCTTAATGAAAAATTATAATCTTAACACCTTACTGGATCAGCATATGAATGGCTTCTTATAAAAAACAGCATATGATTAGTTATGGTACTAGATACTATATTAATTCTATTTAACTACCTTCACCTGGAATTAAACTGGTATCTTGTGATCTGACCTATAAAGCATTAATAGCACTAACCACTATGCTATAGATTCACAGGTCTAAATAAACTTGTTTTCTTTTTTGTAAATAAATATTATTGCTTTATTAATTATAAAATATAAGAATTTTTTATATAAAGAAAGTATTATTCTCATATATAACATATTAAATTAATAAATTTAATATTAACTTGCTTATATTGTATATTCCATTAAAATAATATAAAAAAATAAATATTAAAATTTATATACAATATATCAAATATGATATCAAGCAACTATAATTATTTATTTAGAATTAATAATAATAATTAATTATATTTAATTATTAAATTCTTAAAATATAATAAGGAATTAAGTTTTTATATATAAATTTATTTGTGACAAGAAATAGAAAATTTATAATATTAATTTAATAAAAACTATAGAATTGAATACCCATTCACTTTAAAAAAAAAAAGAAAATTTAAAAAATTTAAGTTGATTTTTTTGTTTACTCTTTCAATTTCTATCCATATCAAAAACTGTGGTTAGCTTATCTTTTTCAAAAGATTAATACAAGATAATCTTACCATATTGAAAACAAGACCTTTAATATAAAAAAGATCTATAGATTATATCATAATAACAAATTGATTACCAGGTCCAATATATTCAAAACTTGATTCTTCTAATTACATCAAACAACTCCTATCTTTTTTTCTAGTGAGTACATATATTAGTTTATAATATAATTAGTAACTAGCTATTATTTAGACCTGTGGGTCTATAGCACAGTGGTTAGTGCTCCACAGATCAGATCACAAGATACCAAGTTCAATTCCATGTGAAGGTAATTGAATAGAATTAATATGGTATCCGATACCATAGCCAGTTATGTGCCGTTTCTCATAAGAAGCCATTTCACATGCCGATCCGGTAGGCGTTAAGATTGTGATC